GTATGAATCATAATGTAGTATTGTACATTCTTTAAACAACATGGGTTTTGAATGTTTAAGCTACAACAAACGGCCTTGATGTTGCAATTAACGTAAAACATGAATATAAAATCATAGTGATCTTGACTTATTAAAATGATTCAAGAATTGATTTTTGTTGTTCTGCTTACTAGAATTGCATAAACGTGTATCTTTTCAGATATAGCTGATTGAATTAATCAAATTTTACATAATAAATTTTGATTAAAATAATAGTGATATATAGTGCATACATATATATTCAATGCAACCATTTTTAACCCATTAAGTGTAAATAATTCCAATTCAATTGATTTCCATTTTTAAAAATAGGGTCTTCCCCTTAAAATAAAATGTTTAATATCCAGTTATCCACGAAGAAGAAATTAATATTATAAATTATCAAAATATTAAGAAATATTTTTAGGTGATAGTACTCATATTTATTTATTTTTTTGCTATAGTGCCAAATGTCACAGAAAGTTAGGTAGGACCTATACTGTAGCTTCCTTATTTTCTCACCTTTTCTTTATACGAAGCTACGAGAAAATGGGGCCCACACACCCATGTGATGTGGGGCCAGGATTGCATCAAAGAACATGTCGTTTTCGTCATTGCCATTTGTCACCATCGACCGAAATAAATAAACAATTTTATTTTTAATTTGATCTGATTTTTTCGAATATTTTATTTTATTTTTATATATTGAGAAAAATCAGAAAAAATCCTTGCAGGATAGCTGGAGAAAGATAGACACGTGTACAGTGCTTTCTTCTTAGCCCTCCGATTTGCTACATCTCATCTATTCACAGCCGTCTATTTCACTGCTTTAGTTAAACCAATCATTTCTCGACACGACACGTTACACGACCGTAGCTAGAGGGTTGGTTTGGTCTGGTAAGAGTTTTACCAGTCGGTACTATTTCGGTTTAGATATAGTGTAACTTAATTTAGTGCTTAGAAGCATGGATCGAAAATTTCAGATTAACTTTTTTCTTATTATCGAAATTGATATTATATAATCACGTCAATTTTTGAGTTTTTTTTTCATTTTTAATCGTTAAAGTATAGAAGTATAGAGAGGAAAGAGAAAGAGAAAATTAGTGACTTAAAAACGAA